TAGGACGATGGACATGGCCCTGATAAGGGACGGCAAAGGAGAGGGGGAGGAGGGTGGAGAGAGGGAAGGGAAGAGAGCGAGGGAGAGAGAGAGAGAGAGAGAAAGAGGGAGAGGGAGGGAGAGGGAGCAAGAGAGGGAGAGAAAAACACGGGACAATGCAGAGGGAGAGACAGACGCACGCGAGAGGGTCCGGGACATGAGCACATCCGCTCGGTTGAGATCGATGACAGTCACTCCGCCGGAGGAGTCGCCAAGTGCCAGGAGCACCGAGTCCTCCGGGTACAAGTCCGGCAAATAGGCCCGGACGCCGGTGTCCACGGCCGGGTCCGGCGACCGAGGGTCTACCAGCGGCTGGCTCGGGCACACGACCGACGCCCCGGCGAAGTGCAGGCGTGAGGTGGCCCCAGTCGAGCCACCGCGCGCGGCCGAATCAATCACCAGGTCAGCCAGCGAGGAGGCCGACAAGACAGACTGTGCGGTGATCGGCCCTGCAGAAGGGCGCCGCAGGCACCGGACCAGGTAGAAGCCATTTGGCGAGGCCACCGTCGGAGGAGACAAGCACACCGGGCTGCCAGTAGGCAGGCATCCCGGCATGGCCCCGGGCCCAGGGGACCGGGAGGCCGATTGTTCGGCCAGGCTTGCATCGAGCGGCCGGTGGCGCTCTGACAGCCGGAACAGCCGCTGGCAAGCGCGATCCGGCGATTCCGGCATCGAGGAAAGGAACAGCCGATACACCAAAACCGTGCTCTGGCTGCCGCAGACAACCACCAGCAATCCGGTGCGTGGGTCGAAAGCCAGCGACGAGGCGGCCAGCTGCTGGCTCGGGTCGGGCCCGGTGTTGGTGGCCGGCCCGGCGAGGAGCCCCAGCGCCTTGGGCGCCTGGCTGGGCACCATGTAGGCCACGGCCATGGGAGCCGGCGCGGTGGAGCCAGCCCCAGCGGCCCCGGTGCCACTGGGCGCAGGTCCCCCAGGTCCGGGGACAACTGTCACCCCGGGGTGGTGGGCAGATGCGCCACTGGCAGGCGCACTGGTCGAGCGGGTTTGGCCAGAGGCCAGCGGAGCAGGCACCTCGGCGCCGAGACTGTCGGAGGTGCCGCTACGCCGGGTAGTCGGACGCGTGGCGAATCCCCCGGGGCCCGGCAGAATGGCCGACGAGTCGGACGACGACCGGGGGCCCATTCCCGAGGCGGGAGGCGGAGAACCCGGGCCACCGACCGTGGCGAAGGCCGCCCCGGCATTTGGACCAATGCTGGCCCGCTGGCCCGACCGTGGCGAGGAGATGGTCCCAAAGCCCTTAACTCCGGCGGCGGCTGACACGGCCGCCGGCGAAGGACCGTCACCGGCACCGGCCGGGGCGCCGGAGGCCTCGGTGGCCGAGCCCTCTGGGCGCTGGCGCACTGCCGGGAGCTGGATCTGATGCAAGAGCTGGATGTTATCTGCGACGGGGGTGCGGAGAGGGGATGGATGGGTTAGAGACGACCAGGACACAATGAATGGCCAGACTCGGGGGGG